ACTCTGCTCTTGAATTCTTTCCTGTGGCAGAGTCAAGAACCTGGTGAGAGAGAGGACAGAGTGTGTTGCGCCTGGCTACCAAGATTCCCCAGACCTTCCTCTCCAGTACAAATACATTTTTAAAAGACAGTGATTATTTCTTTTTTTGTTTTTTTCCTTTTTGTCTTTTTTCATGACTGGTAACGAGATCGCAACCCTCGGTGTCGCGCCCGCACCACGCTCAACCAGTGAGCAGACAGGTCTCTATATGGGATCCGAACCCTAGGCAGGAGCGCTGCAGCGCTCCCAAGCGCCGCACTCCGTAATAACTTCGTATAGCACTCTACCGAGTGCGCCACCGGGCCGGCCCGAGTGATTATTTCTTAGTTAATCACTGAAAGTTATGTGTTGCTGACATTCTCTAGAGCTGTTGATAGAAGACTGTGATTTATTTATTTATTTTTATTATTTTTTTAATATGTAAGAAACAATATGTATTGCTTACAGTTTCAGAGGCTGGGAAGCCCAAAGCCCAGGGAACACATCTGATGAAGGCCTTGTTCTTGATAATGACTCCATAGTGACACAGGATATCACATGGTGAAATGTCTGACCAAGAGAGAAGCTAACCTCCTCACACATTCTCCTTTTAAAGCCTTCGGAGTCACACCCATGACTACGATTAAATCACCAAAGGATTAATCCTCACTATCTAATCATCTCTTCAAGGCCTCACCTTTCAATTACCATAAAAGACAGAGGGATTCACCAAGATTGGTTAGTTTTTCAGTTCTTGAGCAGTCATATATGTTGACTACATACCTTGTAGTCTTTTTGCAAGGCCACAGTTTCATTTGTTTTTCCTGAGCCTTAGAAGCACTATCAATGAATATTTATATCCAGCACGAGTATATTTTTGGTAGTTTAAGAATGAATCTAATAATTTCCGTGTTTGAAAAGTGTCAAGGAAGAATTTAATGACTGAAGAAAATTTTATTCTGTAGAAGTAAACACAGCATAAGCATGTTCGGAAGTATGAGTGGATCTCAGTATGTGAGGGCACATTAAGAAATAATAAATATTTAAAATTTCTTCATAGGGATTCTAGAATGGGGAGATAACTCCGTAATGAATGCTAAAGATTTACTGTAAGCAATGTGAGAATTTATTAATTCATAGGATACTGAAGGCATAACCTCTGTTTAAAGTAAATGAAAAACAATTAAAACTACTAACAACATGAATAAACTTACTTCAAAGAACATTTATTTAAATGGATCTCTCTGTACAACATACTAAGCATATAGGTGAGACTATTTATATATGAAAAATGCTGGATTAGAGGGCTGATTAATATTTTGAAATATTCTAGTATATATACTCACTATAAACTGCATCCAAGACAGCTTTCATTTCTAGTTTCTGATCACAGAGATATGAACTGATGCTAGCATTTTTCACATGTTTACTCAGTTCTAAATATATACCTTTTTTTTTTTTTTTTTTTTGACTGGTAAGGGGATCACAACCCTCAGCACAGTGTGGTCTGCCCCATGACCAGCCAGTGAGTGCACCAGCCATCTCCATATAGGATCTGAACCTGCGTCCTCCATGCTACCAGTGCTGCACTCTCCCGAGTGAGCCACGGGGCCGGCCCTAAATACATACTTTAATTACTAACCAATTTCTCTCAAAAATTTTTTCATTGCCTCTTTTACATCTTTGTTCCTCAAACTGTAGATGACAGGATTCAGCATGGGGATCACAATGGTGTAAAATATTGACACTATCATGTCATGGTCTGAAGCATAGCTGGAACTTGGTCTCATGTAGCTGAAGAGGATTGTCCCATGATAAATTGTCACTCCAGTTAGGTGAGAGCCACAGGTCGAGAACACTTTTTGCCTCCCTTTAGAAGAACGCATATTCAGAATAGCCAAAAGAATAAAACAATAGGATATCAGGACAATCAGGATAGTGACTATTTCAATAAAGCCCACAAAGTACAAGAGGAGAAGCTGGTTTATGTGAGTGTCAGAACAAGAAATAGCAAGAAGAGGTGGAATATCACAAAAGACATGCTTAATTTCATAGGATCCACAGAAGGACAGGCTGAATGTGGCCACTGTGTGTACAGTAGCATGTAAAATGCCACCGACATAGGAAGCAACCATGAGTGGCACGTAGATTCTGGGCGACATGCTCACTGAATACAGAAGTGGGTTGTAGATGGCTACAAAGCGATCATAAGCCATTGCAGCCAAGAGGAAGCATTCCGTGGTTCCTAAAGTCACAAAGAGAAGCATCTGTGCTGCACATCCAAGAAATGAAATGGACTTATTCTCTGCCAGGAAATTGACCAGCATTTCTGGGGTGACAACTGTAAAATAGCAGGCAACCAAAACTGACAAAACACTCAGAAAATAGTACATTGGGTTGTGGAGCCTGGAATCCTTAATGACCAATACGACCAGTCCTAAATTTCCTACCAGAGTAAAAAGATAGATAGCAAGAAATAGGAAAAAGAGGAAGACTTGCAGCTCAAAATCATCTGTGAAGCCTGTCAATATAAATATGGTGATTTCAGTCACGTTCTCCAACTGATTCCTGTATACATTCAAATCTGACGACAACCCTTCCATTTCAGTTTTTATTCATGGATTCTAGAGAAAGCATTTTGTGACAATAGAATTCATCCAATGAGATATACTTTTTTCTTTCTTAGGGCATAATCATTTCCTTGGTAGTAATGGGATAGGCAGTGACAATGAAGTTGTACCCAAGTGAACACTGTATAAGTAAAAGGAAGAAATAATTTCATTCATTGGTGGGGCTAAATTTATCATGTCTGATAATACATCCAAGTGAGTCATTTATTTTCCAATTAATTTTCTATCACTTGTTCTCATATTATGTCATCTTAAAATTCACAAAGATGAATAATTATTGGAATATTTAAATCCAAAATATTGTAGTGGAAAGCACATATCTGAGTACTAGTCTGAGTTTTGCTACAATATACATAAAATGCCTTTTCTTTAACTCTCACAATTTTTAAAATAGGAGAAACCACACTTACATCACGGATGAATTTAAATGAGAAAAACATTGTCAAATTATTTAAGTTAAAATGCTTCCAGATAACTAGAAAATAGGATAAGTTAGACTTACATTTCAACTTGCTGCTTGAGGCAGCCTTTTCAAACAAACCTCTCTTCTGGCATTATCCCATTCCATTAAATAAAAGAGCAGAAAATACTCTGGAGATAGATGTACGTTGTTTGCACACAAAAACAGTGCATTGTGTTTGGTTTTGTGTGCCCTCCTCCCCCCGCCAATAAAAATACATATCTCCTTATTGCCGATTTTTGGTCTTTGGGACTTTTGTATCACTTTTTTTTTTTTTCAAATTTAAACTTAAAACAATGTGATATATATCTCAGTTCATATACTTATTATTCCTGCAAAGACCATGATTGTATTTTGAGACATATTCCTGTTAAAGATAGATTATAGCCATTCTTTTAATATACTCTAGTTGTTTATGGAGTTTCTAAAATAACTATGAAATATGGGGGTACTTAAAGAAAAGAAAGATTTTTACTGGAAGGATTTTTATTATCTTTTAATTCTATTTTTCCACAAACTTATTGAAGTACCCTCATAAATGCCACCAATAGCAGCTGATGGAATTCTTTACAGAAGCTATTGATAAAAGAATAAAATTACTTTATTTGTCATAAATTAGTGTTTGATTTCTATGCTTTTTCCCACTGTTGTCACTTCTGTTTCACATTTGGTGAGGGTGAAGAAGGAAAAGTATATGACCAAGAAAAAAAAGAAAGAAAAAGAAAAGAAAAGAATAAAAGAAAATAAAGCTAAAGACCCACCTGTATCTAGACTGAAAGCCTCAGTTATTAAAACAGAAATAAACACTGGATCCACTAAATTCAGGGTGGAGATTTTGGCATGATGACTTTCATTTTCCTTCAGCCTTTCATAAATGAAATACTTTTTTTTTTGTCTTTTGTCTTTTTCTGTGTCCGGCAACGGATCGCAACCCTCGGCCGGCGTCGCCCCCTCGCCTTGCTCAGCCAGTGAGTGGGAACCTGTCTGCATGTGGGATCCGAA